TCAAGTTCCTTGTAACGTAGGAGTGAGATGACCAATTTCGTCACACGAGGCAGTCCCCCAAACCGCAATTAACGGCAATTAACAGCAGTTAAGTTGGCTGTGAGAGTAAGGGCTAAATTGCTTCTATTGCAGAGTTCAGTGGCTTATATGCTTCAATTAACGTCCGGGGGTTTAATAGCGATTCTGGGGTTAGTTCAGGGGCTTAACTTATGGTTTTGCCTCTTATATATATATAAACGTGAATGCGTTTAAGTTCAGATCTACCTACCCCTAAAGATGTCTACAAGCAACAGCAACCCCTTCTGCCCGCCGACAAGCGGAGACGCACCTGCAACTACCCCAAACCCTAATCCCGATATTAAACAACGCCGAACCAATTTTACTTCAGAAATCGGCACAACCATCTGCAACTGCCCAAACCCTAATTCCTGTAATTCAGATACGGCGAAGAAAACCCAATTCCCTCCAGATCTTATTGAGGAAATTCTTTTGAGGCTCGGTGTCAAGTCTCTGCTTCGATTCCGATGCGTATCCAAGCAGTGGTTTTTTCTACTTTCCAACCAACAATTCATCACAAGACATCTCAAAATCCAGACTTCAAAACGCACTCGCCAGGAATTTATCGTTCAGGGTCTTGAAGATACAAACTTTGCCATCGGCACTCTAGACGACAATGCTGATCGGATATGGTTTCGACTCCTGGAAACCAACCACCTCCAGGTGCTGCCTTCAGAGAAAAGTGCTGGCTTATTGGGGCACTGCAATGGCCTTCTGTCTTCGCGCTTCTATTCCAAGGAGACCGACCGGAACAGCATCGTTGTTTGTAACCCTTCAACAATGGAACAGTGGAGATTTTCGATGCCGCAATGTCTTAAGAAGAATGTTGAACTATTTGGGTTCGGTTTTGATTCAGTAAGTGATGATTACAAGCTTGTATTAGCGACGATTACAGCATGTGGGAGGAAACTAGATAAGATCCAGAGCTTGAGCCTGAAGAGGGGTTTATGGAAAACTGTTCAATTTGATATAGAGTACTCGTTTGATTTATCAGATGGAACTCATGTCAATGGCTACATTTACTGGCTTATTAATCGTCAACAACGATCTAGTTGTGGAATTGTAAGTTTTGATTTGAGCACAGATAAATTGAGAGAAGAGGAATCTCTAAGCTGGATACTATCCAATAAATCCAACATGTATACCAGTTTGCAGCTGTCAGGAGAATCTCTTTGTCTGGTCGAGTCTCCGGACGAGGTTGCCTATGATGTGTGGATGATGGAGGAAAATGTGGTAACACAGACCAAATCTTGGATTAAATTGTTCAGAGTTAGTAGTACTGATGGCAACTTCAATACCCCTTTAAATGATCCATGGAACCGGGATGTGATGACTCCAGTCTGTTTTACTGGAAACGGAAAAGTTTTGATTTATTGGCATTCAAGATATGAATACGCTCTGTACAACCCCGATGACCAATCAGTTAACAAAGTTGCAGAATTTGGCAATCCCATTTGGGAATCCTGGCCTGTGAGTCCATATGTGGAGAGCTTGGTCTCCCTGGGTTGATGAACTCAATTCAATTACTGAGTTCTAATTTTATTAATGCTATTATTTACTTTGATGTTCCTTTCGTCTGGTGTTGTCATCTTATTTATTTTGGGGAGTGGCTAATGATAGAAGAGGCTGTGCTAGTGTATGGTCCTCAGGCTGGTGATGTGAAGAGTAAGGTATTGGTTTAGTTTTAATAAACTTGAGTGAATGTGTCGAGGGTGTGTTTTTAGGTAATGTAATTTGTAATTAGAATGATGGAGCCATTCTGCCTGATATTCTTCTTATCTTTAAGCAGGAATTCTATGTGGTTTCAGCTAGTAAATTTGATTGTTGAAGGAATGGATAATTTTGTTCTTAATATTCATTAATTACAAACAAAAATTAATGACAAATTGAACTGGCATGCCTGATATTTTGTCATCACAAACATTATTATTTAGCCTTGCCAGGTCAGTTTTGTCTTCATTGAAATTGATGCTTCGTTGGCACGCTTGTGGTTCCAGAAAAAAGGAAAAATGATGCTTTGTTGGAGGAGGTTGGTGTTTTGTGATTCTGCCTGGTGTTTCATTGTCAAAATCTGTTGCATATTATTATGCTAATGAAGGTGTATGTGTGGAATTGTGGATTTTCTTGATAAAGTTCTGATTTATTAGCTCTGTTCACTGTTATACTGCCTGTCTGATATTTTGTCATCACAAATATCTGGAGTGTAGGTATTGTGTGGATGAGTCTAAGTTAACCTCTATTTGGCACCAGTTGGCCTGAGTGGTCCTCTTTGTTCAGTAGGTGTTGCTTGTGTTGCTCTCATTGTTGTTGGTTTCTGTTTAGTTCAGAGGTGCAAAGTGTGGAGATGCTTGATGGTTTTTTGTCCATTTTCTTTGCCAATGCAAAGGTTTGTTAGATATTGGGAACCCCCAAGTCAATATTGTTTTTTGTTAGGCTGCTAATAGATTTGTATTATGAGTTGGCTTCATGCACTTAGATTTGGTTTCAATTGCACTTTCACTTTAAAGAGGTGCCCTGCCTCTTCTGTTTCTTAGGTCATTATTGATGAACTATAACTATTTCTCTCCTGTATATAAAATAAAAGACAAAAAGTAATTTGTTTTTGCTCGAATATCCATTAACAGATGCAAGTTCATTGCCTTTTAACCTTTGATTGCTAGGCTTATTGTGAATGGTTTAGGAAGAATGGTCTTAATATCTTTCTTTTAGAATGTGATTTATGAATATTCATTAGTATGTGTGGATCAGATCCTTTTCCAGCAGAAACACTTCCAGACACATCTTACCATGTAGTGCTTGGACCTGAGTAGCTTCTTTCCTTAGTATTGGTGAGTTAAATGTTGGTGATTCCATCCAGAAATGTTTTACAGTTTGTGTCTAAGTCTTTGCCTCACGGGAGGCAAGAGCTTCCCATCTGGATTTGAATTACTATTTACATCCATTCTACCTATTTAACCATATATAGTTGTTGTGTGCGGTTTTGAATAACTTTGATGGTAACAAGACGGGTTCATATTTACTATATCATTGAGAAGTTTATGCGTGCATATGTGTATCACTCTCACTTATTTGTTCTGTCTGTTTTGCAATCTCAACACGCTTTCCAAACAGCTTAACTAGTCTACGACAACATATCTTGAGGTAATGCACTACTCTTATCCTTTTATTTCTTGTTTCTTAACCAAGAAATGGTTTCCAATTCCAATACAATTGAACTTGTCCTGCTTTGCAATTAACTGAGTTCTTCTATTATAAATTGCTCATATAGATTCTCCTGCATTCATTTCTGCGCTAGATTGGAAATGTGACACCATTCAGGGCCTTGTGAAGATGCAATAGAGTCTCTTACATCACTGCCCAAGTATACTGATGTGAGCCACAAGTTTTAAATAATAGAGGGAAGTTATTGCAGCACAGATTCTGAATAGGTTATAGTGCTTCATTTGCCACCCCCTCCCCCCTTTTTTTGGATTGTTTGGTGTTGCATGTTCCAATCTTGTGACGAAAGTACACAGGAGGAATGCAGTGAGCTGGACAAGATGGTATTTCATGCAGACTATTGAACTTTCCAGGTTGAACTTTGTCAAAAAGCCATAAGATGACTATGGATAAAATCTGGTTTACCAGCTCTGTCTCTGAATGTGGTTTACTGATATCAGATTGCTAGACCTGATTTCTGAGATTACTTTTGTTATTGATATCTTTGTGGTTTCTTTTTACTAAATTAATCTAGGTACAGAACATCTGTGCATCTACATCTCTCTATGTTTGTGAATATATGGTTGAGAATTGAGTGTGTTTATTGAATGTGGTGTGTCTTGGTTGCCTGTTGACGTTCCAGGCATTGGTATTTGGTTCTGTGCCTCTAATTTGTTCATTTGGCTGTTCTTGTTACTACTGCATTACTGGACTAAAAATTTCTATTGGATTTGGTTAATAATATTGCTAACCTCCTACATGGTGCTTGATTTGCAGACAAACAATGTAAGCATTGGGGACAGGTCATGGGTTCCTGTTTATTCTTTGGATTTAAAATCCCGACATGCAGGGATGAAAAATGGGCATATAGTGTGCATGTCAGTGCAACAAGCCGGTATCTAAGGTTTCTGTTTCACCTTTGCAATTAGAAGATGTAAAAGAGCTCCCACGAAATATATACAAGCCCAAGGAACCTTGCACAGCAACCATAGTTTCTGTTGAGAGGCTGGTGGGTCCAAAAGCTCCAGGTCAAAAAGCCACCCTCGATTTGCTGGGTTTGCTATCTGAAAATAACAGGTAAGGAGTCGCTAGCTATTTCCACTCAGGATTTGCTGGGTTGATTCTCAATTGTTTTCATCTTCTTTTTTTGATTTACATAACTGCAGAAAGAATTCCTCTTGCTTCTTTTTTGCTAAATTTTTACAAGAAGAATTCCTCTTGCTTTCATTAAACAGAAATGAAAAAGTGAAGAGGGTAGACAGCACTTTCAGAAGCAATTGGATATCTTAATGATGTTGATCTCTCTTCACTTTCCAAAAACGTCACCACATTGAAATGCATTTGGGTTAGGGTTGATTCTGCTTTCTCTCAGGTGAAAAAAGATAGGTTCTTGCATCATGCCTGCTTGCTGAGGTAACAAAGAGAAGGAGAATTTGAATTTTGAATTTTGGGTTTCTTTTCTCTTCAGGAAAGACTTCAGAAAGAAGGAAAGGTTTCATCTTTCTAGAGTCTTTAAAAATGGAAAAGCATAGGATTGAAGTGTATAATTCTTTCTGTTTTGAGTTTTGGCTGTGTTTACTTGGAAAATAAACAGGGGTTGTCATTTGCTATGTCTTTTCATGTGCATTAAGTAAAAAAATATGAACTTACTATGCTTTTGAAAGTTTTTGATCTTTCTGGGTGGTAATGATTATCATATATGGAAGAAGCATGAAAACATAACTACTGCCATGCACAGGCAGATGTGAAGCTGGTATGTCTAGCATTCTCTGCATTGCAATTGTTTTCCTTTCATTTTTATTTTTAATGCAAGCTGAAGAATTTTTAAGTTTGAATTTGCCTTTTTAACTGGGGAAAAGAGCATAATAGAATTCTATTTATATTTGTGATTTTATTGCAGTTCATTTTAGCTTATATTGTTTGTAATTGAAAGATGCAACTGTTAGTGCTTTCTAGCAATTGAAGTCATGGCTTAATTGGAAAAAGCATTTTCCAAGCTTATAGATTGGCAAAAAAAATTTCCGAAACTAATATCTGTGAGTCTCCTAATCATAATTTTCTACTATAACTGACAGTTTCTTTTTTTATTTTATTTATAAATACAAACTCTACAATTGTTGCAGGAATAAGGGATAGATAGACTCAAAGGCCCCCCCAAAAAAAAAAAAAAAGATAGATGGACTGGAAGGGGAGTAGCAAGTATAGAAGAAACAATTGAACCACATAATGAGGCACGATAAAAGATGTTTTAATAACAATGACAGTTTTTGATGAAGAGTATTGTCTCAATACTTTCATATTTTAAAGAGTTTGATATCAAATGCTTATAACAGAAAGTGAAAACACAACACTAGGAACTCTATGCAATAGGAACTGCTACAAAGGGAATTCAGTAATAAATTTAAATTAATAATTAATAGCCTTTTTTTGTTTTCCTTTTTACATTTTTTCACTCTTTTCTGAGAGAGAAAAGGGAGAGGGTGAGGAATGATATTCAGATTTGATCTACTGGCCTTATGTAAATAGCCATGAATACTCATATGGTAGAGAATATTTCCTTAAGTTTTCCATTTTCTGTTGAACACATTGTCTCTATGGTCTGGTAAGCATGTTTCCACAATGTTTTAGCTAACTTTGTTTCAGATTTGCACATCAATCATTGTCCTACTAAGAACAATTGATTTTGGCCTGCAGGATGCTAACCTTATAATGCTTGCATTAGCATTACATGAAGTACATTTTTCAATTCTAAGGGAGGTAAATATGAGAATACCTTTAATCCATTATTTCTATTTTGTTTTTTTGGTAAATTTGTACCTTGGATTCTTACTCTTCATTTCTGGAGCAATGAAATTATATTATTAGTTTCATTGTTATTAGGATGTTCCGACCCAAGAGCACCAGCCTGCCAATCAGCCCCAACATTTTCTCAAACAGAATCATCTCATGTTAAAGAGATATAGGAAGTCATTTTCTGTGGTTCCTTTTGCCAATTAGTGTATAACATTAAAAGTATATACATAGCTGTTAAGAGATATTGGCACTATTTAAGGGTAAGTAGATATATACATATTAAAGTTCATAACTGAAAGAGTTCACTCAGAATTTAAAATTAAATGACAAAAAGAATGGTGTTGCTAAAATGATCTTTGTAATGTGTAATTTCTTTACTGATGCCTATTTACCGATGGTGAATTTAAAGGGAGTCTCTAAAATGATTTTTGAACACCTGCTGATATTGTGAATTTAAGGAGGGTTGCTTGGCAATTCATAGGAAATTCTTTTCAAACCCTCCTATCTTCCCTTTTTTTTGTTTGGCATTTTTGAAGTAATTATCGAGTTCAATTTAGAATATTAGATGAGGATCAAGGCTTTACACTAAAAGCACTTGATAATCTGTTTTGAAAGAGGGTTTAGAAGGTTTTAATTATATGTTTATGGTCAAACTGGTACAGGCAAAAATACGTGATGGAGGAATGCATATTTCAAACGTAACAAATTCATCCCATGTATACCTCAATTACGTTCTCCATTTTTTTATTCATTTGTTTACCCAAGGAATTCTAAATTGTGTATTTCAAATAAATGGTAGTCTGAGCATAATGCTCCCTTGCATCTTGGATATCATCACGTTTCTTCTTCTTCTTTTTTTTTTTTTTTTAAATAATACTAATAGTTTTTTGCTGTGGAATTACTTATTGATTTCTTTTTCAATTCTGATAAGGTTTTTCTCATGATATGACAGTTTATAAGCCAATAATGCAATAACTGATACTTAGTCCAAAATTTTCACTATGTAATTGCCTTGGTTTTGGCAAGCACAGTGATTTAGACATGTTGATCCTGCTTTAAGTTTTACTTCTATGTTCTTTGTTGCATATATGAAAGAATGGAGACAAGAAAGAGTATTGTAATTCATCAAGGAAAGATTAATTTCTAAGAATTTTAACCTTGTTAGAGCTTAGGGTTATATTATTTTATATACAGGATGAAGCTAAGGGTGGAGGGGAAGCATAGGGTATGGGGAAGAAGAAGTAGAAAGTGATGGTGAGTTGTGTGATGTGGAACCTAATCCTGAGGGAAGTGACGGTGCATGGAAGAGAACAAAGTTCCTAATGAGTAGATGTTGATGATAAAAGGGAAGAAAGCGAGGTAAAAGATTTGATAGTGATGAAGAAGAAGGATATAGTTGGCAGTAGTGACAAGCGGGAGACGAAAAGTAATCAAAAGTGGATCAAAGAGGTTTGAGAGGAACCATTACCCAAATAATGAAAATGAGGAGCGTGATCAAGCTAAAAGTCCACGGTAATGGCTGTTGCAATTACAGATTTGTCTGTTTTTTTCTAGAACATTTGCTTGAAAATTTGCTATTCTTGTACAAAAAGATACTCTCTTTCCTTCTACTTGAATGAATTTAGAAATTGATAATCATAAAAAAACCCTATTTCTTAAAATAATAATGTCTAGAAATCACGACTTATTTATGCTTGTTGCAGTATCTATGCAAGTAAAATGAAGTCTGCCAAAAGTGTGGAGGCAAAGAACCAGGTAACATGATTACGATCTCCATATATCTTTATTTCCTAGTGCTTAATTTTCCACACTGGCACAAGAATCCAGAACTGTGATTTGATCCATAGGGTAAGTATTGGTCTAGTAACTTTAGTTTTAATAAATTGGAGAGAATGTGTCGAGGCTCATGGGTGTTTTTTTAGGTGAGATATAAGTTGTAATGAGAATGATGGAGCCATTCTGCCTGCTATTCGTCAGATCTGTAAACAGGAATTCTATGTGGTTTGAATACAACACAAAGAGTGTGGGACCCACATATTAGGAAACAAATATAGAATTGAATAATTAATTCAATTTACAGTTATACCAAAATGCAGAATCTTCCATTTTCTATTTTCAAAAAATGCAGAATCCAACACAAAACGCAAAACTCTCACCCACCCTATAACCAGGTAACTAATCCCTCCCAAGCAGTGGCGGAGCTAGAAAATACTTTTGGAGGGGCAGAATGAAATTTTGATTTAAAAATGATTACTTTGTGTCAATTTAAAAGGTAAAAAAATATTTAGTCCATAACATTTGTTAATCTTTAATGATAAACTAATAGTGGTTGATAACTTAGTATAATCGCTATATGTTGAAAGATAAAAATTAACATATATTAAGTAATATATATATATATATATATTATGAACAAAGAAAGAGGAAGTGTAAAGATATTAATGAACAAATATTTTATAGAAAGATGATATGAACAATTTTTATTCAATTAATTTTTACATTTTCTTGTATCTCATATTAGCTTTAATTTTCTAGTCTTTCTCATTATCACCGAAAGTAATCTTCGGTAATACAAATACTAGAAAATGATTAAAATGATATAAAATAATTAAGGATAAAAATGATGAAAATAAAATGAAAGGGACTAAACTAAATATTTTACAAAAGTTTAGGTGCTTGTGCCCCTAAGACCCCCTTGTCTCCGTTGGTACTAGTTGTGGCAATATCCCCGATCCTCGCGGGGACCCCACCACGGGATGGGAGATATTTTCACCCAACGAAATTTCACGAGAAATTTTTTCTACCACGTGAGGCCTCGCGGGGTTCCTCATCCCTACAAAAAAAAAAAAATTTACTCTTCAAATATAAACCCAAAGCTAAACCAATTAAAATTAACTTATACAATACTATTCAACCCAACCCAACCCAATCCAACTTAACCAAACCCAACCCAATCCAATTTAACTAAACCCAACCCAACTCATTCTCCTAAATTTAACCCTAACCCTAATTCATTTTTTCATTCTAATCACTCTTACTCTCACCTTCTCAGATCTCAATTTCTGCCTCTGGTTTGTTGCTTGCGAATCTGCTCTACTCTTCATGAACCCTTTTGCTCTGCTGCTATTCACAATCTACGCTTCACAAACCCTTTTGCTTGCTACTGCTCACGAATCTGCTCTGCTCTGCTGTTGCTCACAAATCTGCTCTGCTCTGCTGCTGCTCATGAGTCCTTTTGCTCTCCACGAACCCTTCTGCTCTGTTGCTACTTACGAGCCCTTTTGCTCTTCACGAACCCTTCTGCATTGTTGTTGCTCACTCTGCTGGCTGCTGCTTGCTGCTCACTATGCTAGCCGCTGCTCACGAACCCTTCTGCTCTACTACTACCGAAAGCCATCTGCTCTTTAGATTAGAATTTGATATTTGGTGGAGAACAGGGACAGGGGGCAAAATCTGTCTCCATCGAAAATCGCCGTGGGGATCCCCGTCCTCATGAATCGTGGGACTGGGGGTTCCTGGCCCGCGGAGCCTCGTTGCCATCCCTACTCAGTACTCTCGAGGATGCTAAGAGCATACCTTTACTGCTTTACATATATATTTATAAAACAATATGAAATTAATTACATATTTAAGTAATAGGAGAATAAGAAAATGAGATTTGTAGAGTTTGAACACATAATTTACAAGAAGTGATCTGTACTAACCCAAAGTCAAAACCATTAGATTGGAACGTAGGGATCAAGAGCATACTTTTATATTAACTTAATGTATTTAAATAAATTAATTTTCTTTTATCTATTAGTCTCAAGATGTAAACCTATCAGACCAATTCTACAAGACAACATTTAGGGCAATCTCTAGTAACATTTATTCTTATGAACTCATTTTTATTTTTCGTTTCTTTTCAACGGAGCAAAGCAATTCTTACAGGGAAAAAATAGAAAATTAGAGAAAGTATGAGGTCTCAAATTTAAATAGGTGTGTTTTTCGTGGTATAAAAACAAAAGCAAACGGGTTTGCTTCTTGTGGAATTTGGACAGCAAAGTTCAAAGTTACCCCTCAGATGCCTGTAGGCAACTGCAACCCCTTCTCCCCATCAACAAGCAGAAAAGCACCTGCAACTCCTCCAAACCCTAATCCTAAAATTAAACCACGCCAAGCCAATGTAGTAGCTTAAATATATTTTTAAAATAGTCAAGCAAAAACAATAAACTCGTTAATCTGTCATTGGATATTCAAGCAAAAAAAAAATTACTTTCTGTTATAAATAAAAATATTTCATTGATAACAACTTAAGAAACAAAAGAGGCCGAGTGCCTGTGTGCAATTGAACCCAAATCTAAATGCATAAAGCCGACTCATAAAACAAATCCATAAGCAGCATAAGAAAATGCAACATTGAATTGGGTTCCCAATACCTAAACAACCTTGCCACTGGCAAAGCTTCAACAAATCGTTCCAAGGTTGTGAAAAAATGGAAACAAAACCCTGAAGTGTCTCCAGACTTTGAACCCCTGAACTAAACGGCAATGCAGGACAATGACAGCAAACACAAGCAACACACCTAATAAACCAAGAAGAATATGCAGGTCAACTGGTACAAAAGATAAAGCTCAACTTAGACTAATCCACACAAATCTACACTCTATATGTTCTTGAAGATAAACAGCACAAAGACAGGGCAGTATAATTGTGAACAGCACCAGTAAATCAGAACTGTATCAAGAAAATCCACCTTTCTGCCCATGGCTTTCAAGGAAAAATAAATCAAATATTATGGGAGTCATGCTTCCCTTGCCTCACCTCTTCTTCACACACACCTTGATTAGCATAATAATCTAACAGAAGATCGATAATGGCGCACCTGGCAGAATTTCACAGTGTCAACCTCCTCCAGCTCCAAAGACACATTAAACTCATTGAAGACAAGACAAAACTGAAGTGTCAAGGGCACTTTCTTGTGATTAATGAATAATAAAAACCAAAATCACCATTCCTTTAACAACCAAATTTACTAGCTGAGACCACAGAGTTCTTGTCAACAGCAAAGAATGATAGCTGGCAGAATTGCTTCAACCTTCTCATTACAACTAATAGCACCTGAAAGAACACCATTAACACATCCATTGCAGCCTATATTAAAACTCCTCTAACAATCAAACTGCCTTTAGTCACTTCTGACATCCCAGCCTCAGCACTCTTAACACCATAGCACACCCTCTTCAATTATCAGACGCTTCCAACATTAAAGAAGATAATAAAACTAGAACAAAAAATAATATTAATAAAATTAGAATTGAGTGATTGAATTTATCTACCCAGGGAGACCAAGCTTTCCACATACGGACTCATAGGCCAGGATCCAACAATGCGATTGCCAAATTCTGCAACCTTGTTAACTGATTGATCATTGGCATCATAAATAGCATATTCATCTCTTTCATGCGAAAAAATCAGATTGACATTGCTGGTGAAACAGACAGGAGACATCACATCCCAATTCGTTTCATCATATAAAGGGGTGTTGAAGTTGCCATCAGTACTATGAACTCTGAACAATTTCGTCTAAAATTTGGAATTTGACACCAGATTTTCCTCCATCATCCACACATCATATGTAACCCCGTCCAGAGACACCACCAGACAAAGAGAATCTCCTGAGAGCTCCAAACTAGCACACATTTTAAAGTCATTGGATAATGTCCAGCTTAGAGATTCCTCTTCTCCCATCCTATCTCTGGCCAAATCAACTGGCAATCCCTCATTCTTCTCGTCCTTCTCGATCAATAAGCCAGTAGATGTGGCCATTGACATGTTTGGACTCTGTGGCTGCTCCTGATAAATCAAACAGGTACTCTGCATTGCGTTGAGTAGTTTTCCATACCCGTCTTCAGGCTCAAGCGCTGGATCTTATCAAGCTTCTTTCCTGACAATGCACTTGTGGCTACTACGAGTTTGTAATCATCACTGACAGAGTCACAACTGAACCCAAATCGTTCAAAATTCTTCTGAGACATTGTGGTTCCGGAAATCTCCTCTGTTCCTTGGTTGACGAGTTCCAAACAGCGATGCTGCTCCAGTCAGTTTCCTTGGAAAACAAGTGCACAGACATGAGGCCATTGGAGTGACCTAAGAAACTCGCAATTTTCTCTGAAGGCTGTACCTGGAGGCAATTGGTTTCCAATAGTGGAAAGAGAATCCTATCAGCATTAGCATTTAGAGTGCTGACGGCCAAGTTTGAATCTTTACTGCTCTGTACGATAAATTCCTGGTGGGTGCATATAGAAGTCTGGATTTTGAGGCGTCTTGTGATGAATTGTTGATTGGAAAGTAGAAGAAACCACTGCTTGGATAGACATTTGAATCGAAGCAGAGATTTGACGCCAAGCCTTAAAAGAATTACCTCTATAAGATCCGGAGCGAATTGGGTTTGCTGCGCCATCTGAATTACGATTAGCTCGGCAATGCAGTAGCCTTCCATCAACAAAGGACGAGAGATTACGATTAGTTACAGGGTTTTTTTTTTTTTTCTTCTTCTTTTAGGTGTGAAGGAAGGGGAATTGCAGATGGTTGTTCTTATTTCTGAGGTAAAATTGATTCAGCGTGGTTTAGCTTTAGGATTAGGGTTTGGAGGAGTTGCAGGTGCTTTTCTGCTTGTCGATGGGGAGAAGGGGTTGCAGTCGCCTGCAGCCATCCTAGGGGTGAGTTTGAACTTTGATGTCGAAAAAACACCTGGACTCGGTTAAGATGTTGAGTTGCAAGTGCTTGTTTTCCTTTATCGGTCCAAATGCTGTTCAATTCTAAATTAAAGTGCGACGTAACATAATTTTTAAATATTAAAAGGTTAGTAGTCATTTTATATTTTGTTTTTCTGTTTTCTGTTTTCTTTTTTTTTTTTCTTTTTTTTTTTTTATGCTTCTGGTGTATTACATTCTTCCCCATTAGAGAAAACTGCAAGAAACTACCCCCAAATTTGCTCGATCATCTGTTGATCCGCAGAGATGCTTTTATTTATGATGAGGCATATGCATTTTTGCAAAAAGGAATTTAGAATTAGGTTTGTGAATATTTGGGAATATAGTTTGAAATGTGAAGTGTGCTTTGATAATTACATGAATTTCAACATTTCGAGTGATAGAGAGATATGTAAGATAGTGTTAGGTAGATAATTACATGTACTACCTGTGACTGCAATGGTTAAACTGTAATCACGCTTTGAAAATGAACCAACTTAAAACAGTAAGTATTAATAATTTGAAATCATAACAATTAAAAAAATAGGTTAAATATTAATTTTGGTCCCTCAACTTTAAGGTTTTAGATAATGTTTATCCTTTAACTTTTTTATGTACTTTTTAATTCCTTAACTATAAAAAATATATTTTTTTAATCATTTCGTCAGTTAATCCGTTAAAGTTATCTAAATATGCATATTTTTAATCCCTTAATTTAAAGTTGAGGGATGAAATATATGCATATATTAGAAGTTAAGGAACTAAAAATATACATATTTAGACAAATTTAACGGATTAATTGATGAAAAAACTAAAAAAATGCATGTTTTATAATTGAGAGATAAAAAAGGTTCATAAAAAGTTAATGACAAAAATTATATAAAATTTTAAAATTAAGGGACTAAAATTCGAATTTAACCAAAAATGAGAGAATTTGTAACTAAAGGTTATTGAAAAGTAGAGTACGCCAAAAAAAAAAAAAAATGCAAGACCCTCAAATCCATCTTTCAAATAAGGGGCATGAATAGTTCTACCCTTCAAAAAAATGTTGAAATAAATTATCTTTTCAAATTATAAATTAAGACAAATCACTTATTTTTTTAATGAATTCTGTTTGCCATGTAAGCATTTTTTAACAAAAAATTGATATCACACAATAGAAAATGGGTGATTTGTCTTGATTTATGATTTGAAAGAACAATTTATCTTTTTATTCTTTTAAGAGATAGATTTATCCCTATCCCTCATTTGAAAGGTGAATTTGGGGGTTTTGCTCCAAAAAAATAGTGTAAACTATCTACAAGAGCTTCTTAAAATACCTTCTCATTAACTATAAGACAATGCAAGAGAACTCAGTTACAAGTGTAGTAACACAAACAAGGAACCAATGGGAGAACTAGAGAAATAGAGTAGGTGTAAATTTACTTGCAGAATTTGGAGTCTACTTGCAGGAGACAGCTTTTCAGGAAGATCACTAGAATGCTGCACATTCAAAACCTCAAATAATTTAAACACAATCTCGTTCTCCTGAAGCAGTAACACAAGAACGAATAACAGGTAAACTTGAAGTGCATTCAATTCAAATTATTCTTTAAATATAATGTTAAGTATATCTAAGTATTATTTTTGAAACTAAATTTATATTTACAAAGCTACAATTTCTGCACCTGAAAACAATGATATGAGCACAAATGGAAGCAACAGCTTGCAGCAGAATTAGAGTTGGTGTTAATTTATTTGCACTATTTGCAGAAAACATCCACCAAAGGGAGCCATCAAATTAGTTTGAGCATAACCGAGAGAGATAAACAATGCATCATAGGTATAAATTAATTATCAGCTTACTTGATTGAGTAAACAATGCATGACAGGTATAAATTATTAGTTTGAGCACTATGTACCTTTTTAAGTTGTTGCTCCTGCATGTACATATTGCAATGGATTGAGTAAAAATAATACGAAGAGCAGAGATCTAGTAAATTTATATGTTCCAACTTCTATACATAAAATAACATCTATATAACAATTAAACCATACAAAATAACAATTGAGATTTTAAGAAAAAAAAAATTCATACCAAGAACCAACATTTGCACCACTTGTTTAGAGGAAAATAATTTGTACACTCTTAATTCAACACATTTTTTTTTACACACTTTCGGTTCAACCATTAAAAATATAATATAAATATAATCAATTCAGCAAGTTCCTATATCATGTGTGTATGATTGTATCTTTAAACTTATCTCTCTTTAATTTCATACTAAGAAATAGTGATTTTTTAATGAGTTTGTTATGTAATGTATTAAATTGAAGTGTGTAGTAATCACTGTTCTTGTTTAGATTTTGAGAAAATAGAGAAAAGTAAAAATAGAACATCCTAGTGTCTAAAATGTGAATACTCCTATGAAATTTTGTAAATACCTTTAATGAATCTTTCTTATATTTTGATTTAACAAAAGGTATTTAAATAACTTTTTAAAAAACCTTATCATTTTAATCAGTTGTCTTGAATTTCCGCAATTCTTTGAATTTAACACCACATACTTTCTCCAATTTTCTATTTTTGGCCCTATAAGAATTGCTCCGTTTGAAGAAAAAAAAAAAAGAATAAATGCTACCAGGGGTTTCCAATCCTCGAAGGGTATGTACAAGAATATACAAGACAACCTCGTTTTAACAATGTGAAATCAACTTGGTTTCATTTAACTATACTTATCGGTACTTTATTTTTTAATTTATATATTTTTTATTATGTTAAAAATATATAAAATGTTAATTAAAATAAATATTAAATATATAAAATATATTTTTTATATTTTTTGATGTGATGAGAAGCATTTTAAAAAATAGATTCGCATGAAATAAAGAGGCAGAAGTCTTAACATCTAGACGCTAGTGTTGATACCAAAAGCACATCTAGCATTAGTAATTTGTTTTTCCTTTTTCTTGAACCCTACTTCTTTTCTAATAGGGTTTCTTAAACCCTATAAATACTCATTCAAAAAGCAAATTTAGGATTTTGGGGGGAGACTAATTAAGAGAGATAGCTAAGAAGAACTCAACATTAAAAGAAGATCCAAACTTGAGTTTTTATATTATCAAATTAGTTTTATTTGTTTTTAAATTTTATTTTATGATGTCAAATACTTTCATATTCATTATGAGATTTTTTTTTTTTTAATTATGAACTAATTTAGTCATCTAAGACTACAATGCAACTTGGTCAATTTAATATAAAATTTTATAATTTTTATATTTTTAAGGTTTATTATATCATGTAGAACATATACTATTGTTCTTAAGGTTTTTTCATGATTGACCACCATCAAAACTGAATTAAAGAGTATAATTGAGACTGAAAGAAGATTTTATGCAATAACTTCTAATAATGTATATCATGCATTTAATGAAAATCAGAGACGGATTAATGTGATTCATGCAATATTAGTGATAAATGTACTTGATTTTCTATGTAAACTAAAAAATTTCACAAAATATAATATATTTTTATCTATTTAAAATTCACATAGAAACATAGTGGGTTAATAGGTGAAGATACGTTTAGTATAACTTAAAAAAGTATATTAAATAAAATAGAAAATCCTACTATCATATGAGTAAAAATACCTTAGAAATATTAATCTAAATTTTAACTTTTAGTCTTACTCAAAATTAATTTAATTTTTTTAATTAGTTCATTCAAATCATTTAATTACAATTGTTCAGATAAAATTAAAATTAATTAATTTTAATAATTAATTAATTTACAATATCTATAAAATTATACTTAATTTTTATTATTATATTACTTAAATTGATTAATACTCTTGTTAGAGTGAAACTAACTCATCAGTAAGTTTAAGGACAAAAAGACTCACTACTACAGCTACGTACAAACCAACATTGTGAAACTAAGTCTAATCAAATCTAAAATAATGTAGAATCAGAGCGGATCTAACATGCTGCACGACTTTTTCCATTATCTCATTTACTTAACAACTTTCTTAGGCATTTAGAAAAGAAAAATGAGAGAGAAAGATAGAGAGAGAGAGAGAGAGAGAGAGAGAGAGGGGTGGTAGTCGGACGACGATCACTAGCAAGGCGGACGACACTGAATCAAGAGCGTGCAGGATCCTGGGGTAGAAGCAGAATCAGAAGGAGGGAAACAGAGGAACAGAGGCGAAGGCAACATGAGCAGAACCAGACTCGGAAGTGGAAGAACGAGGGTGCTTATGACAAGGGATTGTATAAGCAAGCCACACCATACTTTTTCTCCAATTTTCCGGATGACTGGAGCTATGCAGACATGTGGAGAACATTTCGAAAATTTGGAAGGGTGTATGACATTTATAGTCCAAACAG